GCAAGACGGGCGAGCTCCTACGTCCTGGGGTCCCTCTGTGCCATGAGGCACGCTCGACGACTATCAAGCCTATCCAGCCTCTCTGCAGATGTCTCTCCAGGGGGTGTACGGTCCTCATCCCCCGTTGCCCCCAACATCACCTCTGCGCGCATGGCAGGGGAGAAACTACTCGGGTCCGCGAAGCTGATCTATCCCAATAAGTCCTGCATACCCACACTGAAGTCCCCACGAGACTCACTCTCTCCTAAGGCCAGACCCACACTCTCTCCCGCGGGCATACCCATATCGCCAAACTCACTGAAACCGCCTCCGCCGCCCATCGGTATCCCCTCAACCGCCGCATCAGCCTCGGCACCACCTCCACCTCCGGCCAGCGCACCGCCATCTCCACCAACCAACCCCTGTCTGTCTCCGTCGTCACCCTGCACCGGCACAGGACCGCCCTCCAATCTATCCTCCAATCGTTGTCTCGGGCCCCTCACCAATCTCTGCAATCGATCTGCAATGGCTGGCTGTCGATGAAGTTGCTCCGTCGAAGTGGGAAGAGCGGTGGATGATATCGTGCCAGAGCGACCCAGAGGACGATGGCCAATCCTCGACTCTGCCCCCCTAGAAGGTGCAGACCCAGGATTTGTCTCCCGCTCAGCGGGAAGCGAAACGGTGGACGTAGGCCTCGAACGCTCTAAAGGGCTCCCATGACGACCCCCAGACTCCTCCAAATCAACCTGAATGGAAAGGTCATCTCCGCCACTCCGTCTACGGACGTCCTCTGGGTCGCTCCACTCATCACGCTCATCCGCCGCAGGAGTGGTGCTAGCGGGGCCCGCCGGCTCGTCCTCGTCCTCGTGACCCTCGGAATCACTGTCGTCTCGAGGGTACGGGTGCAATGTGGCGGCTCGAGTCCCGAAAACATCGCCCACATCACCCGGAAGAGCTTTGGACCCACATGGGTCTCGCAGCCATGAACGCCTCTGATCCTCGACCTCCTCCCTCATCCTACTCTCGTCCGTCCCCTTCCACGAGGGGCGAATCCCGATACCTCCCTCCACGTCCAACAACGACTCATCTAGAGTCCACGGCAGCGCGAACCCGCGACCTGCTCGCTGATGAGATAGAAGGCGGACGTTGGCTGAGATCTCAACCAACTTCGTGACCTTCTCGAACTCAAGTCGGTTACGCTTCTTGGTCTGTACACCCTCGTGGACGGCCCAATTCCTCTCCGCAGGAGAGGAGCACGTCCACATGTGCATCACACGAAGAGCGATAACCTGCAACTGCGGGGCGCACTGCCCGTACCTCGACCACCAACACCCGGACTCGTACGTCTCCGCATCGCCCCTGCACCTCTGTGCATCTCTGTCTCCGTCTCTCCCCCCCCCAAGCAATCGTCCCCCTCCGTGTGTGGAAGTCGCGCAACTGTGCACATGCGGTCTCGTAGTCGCGGCTCGCCACACTGAACCCTGTCTGCGACAAGATGTAAGTTTCCGCCTCCCTCACCAAGCTCGCATCGTAGTCGCTGACCACGCCCTCGAAGTACCGCAAGTCTCGCCGGCTGGGACAGAGGAGGTGAGCAGCGGCGTGCGCCGACTCCAGCATGAGAGCGCATCGAGACTGCACCCTCTGCACAATGTAGTGTGCAAGATCTGGCGGAAGTGCACAAACCTCCTCTCCCACCTGGCGGGCCAGATCCTGCGTCCACTCAACCACCCGCGACATGTGTAGCCCTCCGCGGTACAACCTGCGCAGCAGGTCGTACACAGGCTCCATGACACGGAGCAAGATGCCCATGGAATCCCACCAACTGCCATGTCGCACCTGCCACCTGACCCACCTAGCCAAATGACGAACTGAATGGTCCCAAGGGACCATACCCCAACTATCGCCATCCACCGTCCTCTCCAAAGCTGACCTCACTGCCAGCAAACGCTCCACCATCGCGAACACGGATGCGAAACATGTCTCGCAAGGATAGATGAGGCCCATCTGACTGCTCTCCCCCCGGAAGATATGGAGAGCGGCGCCGTGCTCCTTCATGAAGCGCACCACCGCTCTCCCCCTCACGATGATGTCCTTAAACCACAGGCCCGAACAGCCAATGTCTGACAACATCTTGTTGCAGACATGCACTGCGCATGGGAGCCACGTGATCCGTCGATGCTCCGGCCTCTGTTGGGGCCCCTGGAGCATGTTCGCCGCGGCGACGTACGCCGAGGCGGCCGAGGCGGAGTCAATGCAGATGGCGTTCACCCACTTAGGGGGGAAGTCATCGAACACCTTGATCCACCGCGCCAACACATCAGGCACCCGATCCCGCTCACCCTCCCTGTTCATCGTCCGGATGAGCATCACCCCACGCGACCCGCCGGCAAGGAAGTTAACGATGGGTCTAGCATCGCATGACTTCCTTCCGTCTGACATAATGGTGGCCCCCGTGACATAGAAAGGAGCCCTGACCTCCGCGAGATCAGCTCCCACATCGTCCGCCGTGTGGACAATGGTCTCTATGTCCGCGATCTCATTCTCTGAAGGCCACAACACCTTCACTGGCCCCGGCAAGTCCCTGAAGTGTCGGACGACGTCCAACCATGGCTCGCTCCGGAAGACGTTGAACGCCAGGCGCTGACTGTACACAAACCGCAGCCACTTCTTCTTGAACTCCATCTGCCACTTTGAAGTGAACGACTCCGTGATCATGTTCTGTCTCATCCTCTTCTGTGTTGCGGCTGCTGCCGTCGGTGTGTCACCCTCCTCTCTCTCCTTCCTCTTCCCCGCAGACGCACTTGCCTCAGGCGTATCCGCACCTGCCCGTGCACGAACCGACACGTGCGCTGACGCAAAGTACTGGCCCTGCTGCCCCCCCCGGCTCGCTGACAACGCCCTTCCCTCGCTCCCTCCTTGACGACCCCGCCCGTGCAACCTCCTCGTCGTCGTCGTCCACATTGATCTGCTCCCCCGGGTCCCTCATCTCTCCCTCCCCCCCCTCGTCCCATTGCGGATCCACTGCAGGCGCCGCACAGTGAAGCTCCTCAAATCGCTGTATCCGCTCTAGGAACTTCTCGGACATCTTGTACTCGTTGTTATAGTGGATGTCGACAAGTGCCTCGTCTGTCACTTCCGGACATCCCTTGCCCTGGCGGAAATGGCGCGCTGCCACCAACTGGTTGCCCTGGAAATCATGGCTGCAGCAAAAGCACTTCAACATGCGATTGCCGCGGAATCTCTCGCCGACACTCTGTCCCACGCGGATGTACTTGTACACGCAGCACTTCTTCTGCGCCTTCATATTCTCGTCCTCCCCCCCATCCTCAAACACCCGAGATTGACTTCGCGGCATCGTGCCCGCTCGCCGATGGGTTCACCGAAGCGGTCCGCCCCTAGCCTGTCCCACGAAGCCCCAACTCCCGCCGG